CACGTTTGAAACTATAAATTGGGCTAAAAAAAGAGAGTACGAAAATTTCGTTTCAGTGGCACTTTAAATACAATGCCCTACATACAATATAAGAAAGAAATGGCCGCGCGAAATCCTCGCTTCCAGAATTTCGCGCGGCCATTTCTTTCTCGCGGTTTTCTTTCCAGTCAAGCACGACGGACTAAGCGAAAGAGGGACTACTCGTAGTCGCCTATCACAAATCAAGAACGTATAATATATCTTGTATTTAGGGTGTGTTTGGGCCCGCTTTAAGTACGAAGATTATACATTGTATTTAGCGTATGTTTGAGCTCGAACGCTTCAATAACGAATAATATACATTGTTTTAAGCGTGTGTTTCGGCTCGCTTTAATAACGAAGAATATACATCGTATTTAGTGTGTGCTTGGGCTCGCACGCTTCAAGAGCGAAGAATGTAAATTGTATTTAGCTTGTGTTTGGGCTCGCACGCTTTAAGAACGAAGAATATACGTTGTATTTAGCGTGTGTTTGGGCTCGCACACTTTAAGAACGAAGAATATACATATTGTATGTAGGGCACTGTATTTAGCATGTGTTTGGGCTCGCACGCTTTAAGAACGAAGAATATACATTGTATTTAGCGTGTGTTTGGGCTCGCACTCTTTAAGAACGAAGATTATACATATTGCGTTCATTTAGCGCTTTTGGGATCGCACGCTTTATGCAAATAAAGAATACAGAATGCTGCCGCTAGACTGATCTGCCAGCAAAGCAGATTTTGCCATATTACACCGCTCCTTCTTGATTTACTTTAGCTCCCAGTGAAGTTTCGTATTGAGTTCAAAATTCTTTTAATTACATTTAACGCTCTTAAGGGTTTGGCGCCTACCTATATAGATTCATTAATTAGTATCAAATCAACTTCACGGTATGACCTAAGAAGCTCTAATGACAGCCTCCTCCTTAGTTATCCAAAGCCGTTATCCAAGGCAACACTGGGTGATCGCTCTTTTACATATGCTGCCCCAAAACTTTGGAACGCTCTTCCTTTGGCCATCAGATCTGTGAACACTGTTACTGATTTTAAAAGCAAACTTAAAACATATTTGTTTTCTAAAGCGTGTTTATTAAAATCCGAATAGTATTGTAATTTCTTAGAATTTTAGATTTTAGTTAGGTATAAATTGTACTTTAACGCTTGTAATTTTTNTCTGTACTCACGACCTCGGTCAAGATTCTCCCATACAGACCTCCTGCTCGGTTAATAAGAGCTAAGTATTCTAAGTAGCATGTGTAATTGCATCGTATTGTTAATTAGAGCAAGTAGTGTTAGTAGTTGTATTACTGTTGTAAATAGTTATCACTTCTGTAATTAGTAGTTGTAGTATTGTTGTAAAAAATAATAATTAAAAAAAAAGAAAAGAAAAGAGAGTATTGAAAAGTTGATTAATAAACGTTGTCATTTATTTATCTGAAAATGTTTGTTTGGTATTCCTTTGAATAATCGCCCATGCATGCAAACGAATGTTTTCCGTTACTTTAAACGATCTCCTTAAAACCAGTTTGCCCCATTCCTAACAAGTTGTGTTGCCATTTTGAATAATCAAATCCAACCGGTCTCAAAACCAGTCTGACCGGTTTGACAGTGCTCCCTGATTGGTTCTCAGTATCAAATCAACTTCACGGTATGACCTAAGAAGTTCTAATGACAGACTCCTCCTTAGTTATCCAAAGCCGTTGTCCAAGGCAACACTGGGCGATCGCTCTTTTACATATGCTGCCCCAAAACTTTGGAACGCTCTTCCTTTGGCCATCAGATCTGTGAACACTGTTACTGATTTTAAAGGCAAACTTAAAACATATTTGTTTTCTAAAGCGTTTTTATTAAAATCCGAATAGTATTGTAATTTCTTAGAATTTTAGATTTTAGTTAGGTATATATTGTACTTTAACGCTTGTATTTTTAACCTATAACATAGTTTTTTTAGAATTTTAGTTTTTAAGCTGTAATTTCCACTTTTAGCGTGTAACGTTCATTTTTTATGTATTTTAATTGTAAATCACATTTAAACATATACGTATGGAATTTGCGCACAACAAATTCGTAATTATTATTATTATTATTATTATTATTATTATTATTATTATTCTCAGGCATGCCACTGAAACTGAAAGGAAGACATATTTCATTTAAA